ACATGCACACATATGTTTATTGTGGCAATATTCACAATAGCAAAGACTTGGAACCAACCCAAGTGTCCATCAATGATAGACTGGATTAAGAAAATATGGCACATATACAACATGGAATACTATGCAGCCATAAAAAAGGATAAGTTCATGTCCTTTGTAGGGACATGGATGTGTAGCTGGAAACCATAATTCTGAGCAAACTATGGCAAGGACAGAAAACCAAACACCACATGTTCTCACTCATAGGTGGGAACTGAACAATGAGAACTCTTGGACACAGGGTGAGGAACATCATACCCTGGGGTCTGTCATGGTGTGGGGGGATAGGGGAGGGATAGCATTAGGAGATATACCTAATGTAAATGATGAGTTAATGGGTGCAGCAAACCAACATAACACATGTATTCATATGTGACAAACCTGCACGTTGTGCACATGTACCCTACAACTTAAAGTATTTATATATATATAATATATATTATATTTATTATATAAATATATTTGTATATTATTTTTATATGTAATATAAAAATCTTTGTAATATCTCTTTGTAATATCTCTTAAAGATCAATTTTTAGGGCATCTCTGTTCTGTAAATCTAATCTGTGATCAAAAGAAATACTATATTTTAAACATATGTTCTTTCTTACATATTTATAGATAAGGGGAAGGAGGAGGAGATATCCAAATGTCTAAAAAAGAGAGAAAATGAATTTAATCAGTAATGTAAACCAAGTTGGTAACCACATATATGCAATATGCAACACCTCTGACTATCATTTCCTTGTACAAATTACCTTAGAAAGTGAGTCCAGGCTTGTTTTAAAATTTTTTAAGTTGTGTCAAAAATCACAACTTAGATGATCAGCTTGAACACAGCTTAAGCAAAGCTGTCTGTTTCCTTCTTTTTAGTCGCAGATCATATTGTAGTGTGTAGAATATGATTAATACATTATTGGATATGAGCCATGCCCCATAGTTTAGATCTGACATATTCCAGTTACCTTATTATGAAGCATGTGTGTTATGATCTCTCGCCACTATCAAAGTATAAGAGTTTGTTGACCATACACTTGGTCTTGGGCTGGTCCCAACCCAGTTGCCAATAACTGGTTCATCATAGCCAGAAACACTCCTGGAAATGTGACTTCCTGGCCCCACTCTCAGAAACAGACCACTTTGAAAATAATCTAACTTCCAGGGAAGGAACCACATTGGAAATAACATAACCACTTGTGTTATGTTATTAAAAAGAAAAGATCTCCATGAAGTTCTTTTTTTTTTTTTTTTTTTTTTTACAATCCAGCTTTGACAGCCTCTTTCCTTCCAGATGGTGCCTGGAGCCAGGCCTGTCAGAGACCCTTAGTCTCCTGCTGCCTTTTAATGCTGGTCCTTGATTGCTAATGACCCCTGGCTGGACTGGCTTCTCAACCCATTTAACCCCTCTCTGCTGGGTCCCCATCTCATGCAGGATGAGAGGCCGTGAGAGCTGGAAGTGGGATGGTGCCAAGTCAGCCAGAGCCTCCCACGCTTTCAGAGCTAGTGGCGCGTTTCCCGGTGCCATCACGGATGTCCAAGATCATTCCAGTGGAGAGCTCATGTTCATATGATTTTCTCTATATTGTCAGATAAATGCTGCCGGGTTTCTGATTGTTAATATTTCATTTGACTAAGCCAAGACAACCAAGTCCCTGAAAGAATGTTCCTTCAGGGGTCAAGAGCTGAGGACCACTGATATGAGCTTCCTGGAATATGTTCATTTGGAAACTTAAAATTACATTGCACTGGAACTATCTTTTTTTGGTCAAACTTCATGGCCAGAGCATTTGCTTTTGTGTGTGTGTGTGTGTGTGTGTAGGCAATAATTTCCTTGTGAAGACCAAAATATCACTTGCATAACACAGGAGATACCCATTTTTCAGCTATGTTAGCAACAGCTGTAACCATTTACTTCGGTTAAGCTTGGTTTGTTTTTTATGACGTATAGGAAGGTGCTTATAGCTATACTGATCAGGTAGGTCACTCAGAGTGTAGGGTTTTTCAAGTGTGTGTGGGTTTTTTTGTTTTGTTTTGTTTTGTTTTGAGATGGAGTATCACTCTGCCGCCCAGGCTGGAGTGCAGTGGCCTGATCTTGGCTCACTGCAACCTCTGCCTCGTGGATTCAAGCGATTCTCCTGCCTCACCCTCCTGAGTAGCTGGGATTACAGGCATATGCCACAAGGCCTGGCTAATTTTTTGTATTTTTAGTAGAGACAGGGTTTCGCTATGTTGGACAGGCTGGTCTCAAACTCCTGGCCTCAAGTGATCCACCCGCCTCGGCCTCCCAAAGTGCTAGGATTACAGGTGTGAGCCACCGCACCCTGCCTGAGTATAGGGATATTTAAAAGGGAAGGGAAAAAGCTGCTGATGCTAATTTGTTGAGAAATCTTGAGTCAAGTGGAGAAATTCAGATCTCTTGCAACCTCCTTAGGTCAGGGAGGGCATGAGAAGTCATCATTTTATGCATAACAAATTGTTTCCATAACAAATTTTTTACTAATCTCATATTGGATTGTACAACAAGGCAAAGAAATTTAGTAGTTCTCTGTGACCCTGAAGAACTGAAATTTAAATTCTTGATTGGAGCAGAGAACTGAAAGCTTTGTGCTGCCCTACTTGTATAAATGTCTTAATGTTTGCTGGATAGTTGGACCAAATTGATTTTATAATGGACTTCAGAAATTTGTTCCAAAATTCAGCAGAAATTAGTGAAATAACCAAAACATACCTTTCTATTTAACCTTTGCTTCTCTCAGATACTTACTATTTTCTTGGCTTTTTTGAAGACGAAGACTGAAAGAATAACAACTGAATTTCTCACCACTAATACTTCATTGATTTCATTTTTACATCTTATTAATTAAATGCAAGATAAAAATTACATTTGTGATTTTATTTTGGTCTACTACTCACATTCTTTTCTATTTCTGCTCAATCTCTCTCTCTCTCTCTCTCTCTCTCTCTCTCTCTGTCACACACACACCCACACCCCTGGCAGACATTTGTAGATGTAACCTCCCCCAAATCATGTCACTCATACTAATGACTGCCCTCTCTATGTGTAAAAATATTTTATAATTTATGGACCTGGGTGGGTATTTGTACAGCTGTGCAATATTAATCTATACTCTGCAGGTTTTGCTCATAGCTGGGCAAAGGCTGAGTAGGTGATGTCTTTAATGATGTCTTTTAGCCCATCAGTAACCAAATGACCCGGAAAGTGGTTCAGAGGAACCTACCTTGTGTAGCTTTGCTCTTTGGATGAATGAGTCGTGTTAGAATGAAATTCTGGTGTATTTATGGAGAACTTTTTCCTTTGAAGCCTAAATGCATTTTGATTGGTTGCCTTTAAATTCCAACAAGCTGAAAAGCAAAAGCATTTATGTCAGTTTCACAGATGAGGCTCCAAGAGGTTAAGTGGCGATTACTCTGGAGTTATAGCATCTTAAAGTTGGAAGGGACTTTAAAGGGCCTCTGGGCTAATGGTTCTTACCCTTTTCCTGCCTTCACACTGGCTTCAGGCAACAGATCCCCATGAGGCATATCCCTCACTGCACACAGATGTTCACACACTGGGAAAGAATGTGACTCCAAGGAGAGCAGCTCAGAATCTTCAGGCCAGAACATGTGTAATCTGCCACACCAGTGTCCTCCATTAAAAATTACTACCTCAGTCCAACCCTCTCTTTATCATTTTACACAGAAAACATGGCAGCAGAGGGGTAAGGGATTCACTTAAGGACATATACCAATATGTGTCAGAACTTGAACTATGTATGCCCGGGTCTTCTGATTCCCCCATGTCCAGTGCTGGTTTTGCTACAGCTGACCAGCCCCTTGCACACTCACAGTAGAACTGGAACCAGCTCCTCAAAGAGTGAGGCAGAGCTGGAGACAAGTGCCCCGGGGTCCCCTGCTGCAGGGAATCAAAGACCCCGTCACAATTAGTTTAGTAAAACCAGCACTATCTGGTGTCCCATATCCGCAAGCACTTAAAATGTCATTCCAATCTTCAAAGAAATTATTTCATTCCATTTTTATCTGCTTTTACCCAGGACATTGTTTCCCAGCTCCCCAGTAGTTCACCAGGTGATTTGCATCTCATTAGAAGCTCCAGAAATGACATCTCCCAGACTGCTGCCTGGCATTGTGGGTCCACTAAGCATCAGATCTAGGTCTTGGATTTTTCAGGTTGACACTTTTTTAAAAGCTGAGTTAATGCTGTTTTCCCACTGGGTGCAGTTTCGGTGGCCATTTTCGCCTTAATTCCTGCTCCCGTGCTGGGTTGAGGTTAGGGAACTGCCATTGTCAAAGATGAAGTCAGTCATCTCCACGTGAAAGCACGTGGTGGATGAGAATATTCTTGGGCCTCAGAATAAAGGAGTTTAAAGACTCCTAAAAATAGAAAGATGCTACATGATGCAGATATTCCAGGCATTACACAAAGCAAAACAAAAAAGCAAGCCAATAGCAAACCATTGCTGAAGCTGTATAATTCATTCTAAATGTTTGCCTTTTAAACTTTTTCCCCTGGATCCAACCCCCCTGGGACCACAGAGTTTTTGCCCTACATTTATATTTCACTTTAAAGAGAGTCTCCCTAGGTCAGAATGGCTTTTTGGTTTTGTCATTTCTTCATACCACAACTTCCAGAAGAGCACTGAAGGGCACTGTACCTCTGGAAACCAGAGATAGTATTTCCATGGTCAGCAAAATTATTCTCTTGGAATAAGAGAAATATGATTTTCCCAGTGTACAGGGAAATAAGGAGCCCTTATGTCTGCTTTGGGCTCAAGCCATTTGATGCAGCCTCCAGTGCAAAGCAAATGCCTGATGGTGCCCAGAGCTTCCCCCATCCAGAATTCCTTTTGTCCAGTGAATACTTCCCTGAGCCTATGCCAGCTTTTCAAAATGGCACATAGCTAATCTGCAGAATTGATCTAAGCTCTTAGGAAAGGGTTAAATCCATGGTTTTTCCAACCCTGGCTACAAATTAAAATCCCTGGGAAGGAGGAGGAACTTTGTTTTAAACAACTAACAATATCAGAACCCTACCCCTGACCAATTAAATTAGGATCTCCAGGGGTGAGTTCATGGTATCTGTATTTTTAAAAAGCCCTTCAGATGATTCTAATATGCATCCAGGGTGGAGAACCACTCCAGTATAACAAGAAATACAGCAGCCCCTTCGCAGCACCTGCTAATGCCTCTGGCACCGTGTTTTATCTTTTCATATATTCTCTGTCATTCTCACTACAACCCTACAAGGAAGGGGTCATCATTCCCAGGTGAAGGCCTCTAATAAGTGCTGAGGTGGTTATCATACTCCAGTTTTTCTGACTTCAGATTCCCACCCCAACACACGTTTCTCAAAGTGTGGGACATGGGTCACTGGTGGCCACCAAGTTGACTTTTGATGATGTGTTGATGTAACATTAAGTAACATAATTCTTTTACATAATTTCTTATGTAAAAGAAAGTTACTCTTTTTTCAATTCTCAGTTTAAATCCTCCAGATTACTCTAAGGAGAAAGTCTTAGTGGTGCTAGTATGTCTTAAATTCCTCTCACATTTACTCATCTCTCTTTTTAACAAACCTTTTAAGAAACCCAGAACCTTCTATAGGAAATGGAATCTAGCACAAGTGTGATGATACTGTTTCATTTTCATTGTATTTACTATATAGTTCGCTTCTATTTATGGCAAACGACATGTTTTCCATTTACAGTGGTGAATGAAGTTCCAGTTTTAAAGAAATGTATTTAAGCAAAAAAAATCAGTTGAATTTTTAAAATATTAAAGAATAAATAGTACAGGTGAATATAGTGAAAAATGCCTAATAGGTAGATATGTGACAAAAGCTTGAGAAATATTCCCCTACAACATGCTAATTTTTTAAATAGGCATACGCACACCTGTTAGCCAAGGGGACTGCTCATCTACCATCCTACTCCAACAGACTGACAACAACCTGTTCCATCCACTTTATATCCACCCAGGACCTATGAACTTTGCTGCTATTTCCAACTGAAGAGGAATCCTGAAACACAAATGGCTTACAAACTGGGAGGGTAGGGAACATTCACCCTTTTCAAATAATCAATGACATGCAAATAGAAACACCCAAATGAGGTGTTATTTTTGACCTATTATACTTGTCAGACTTTTTCTCTTTTTTTTTTTTTTTTTCTTTTGAGACTGAGCTCTCACTCTGTGCCCAGGCTGGAGTGCCAGTGGTCCCGGATCTCAGCTCCACTGCAAGCTCCGCCTCCTGGGTTTACGCCATTCTCTCTGCCTCAGCCTCCGGAGTAGCTGGACTACAGGCGCCCGCCACCTCGCCCGGCTAGTTTTTTTGTTGTTTTTTAGTAGAGACGGGATTCACCGTGTGTCGCTCAGATGGTCTCGATCTCCTGACCGCGTGATCCGCCGTCTCGCCTCCCAAGAATGCTGGGATTACAGCTTGAGCCACCGCGCCCGGCCCAGACTTTTCTTAAGAGCCATCTCATGCTGGTGAAGGCCGCTGCTTAAATGGGTAATATAGTACGGGTGGAGAAGTGTATTTTGCTGCACGCTTTCTGGATGGCAATGAAAAAAAAAATCGTAAGTTTTTAAAATATGCATACCTTTGGCCAGTAATTCTCTTTTAGAAATTTATCCTAGGCCGGGCGCGGTGGCTCACGCCTGTAATCCTACACTTTGGACCGAGACGCGGCGATCACGAGGTCAGGAGATCGGACCATCCTTGCTAACACGCGGTGAAACCCCGTCTCTACTAAAAATGCAAAAAATTAGCGGCGAGGCGGCGGACGCCTGTTAGTCCCAGCTACTCGGGAGGCTGAGGCAGGAGAATGGCGTGAACCCGGGAGGCGGAGCTTGCAGTGAGCCGAGATCCGGCCACTGCACTCCAGCCTGGGCACTAAGCCAGACTCTGTCTCAAAAAAAAAAAAAAAAAAAAAAGAAAAAAGAAATTTATCCTAAGGAATAATGAGCATTTGTCAAAGACCAAACTATATGCTCCTCAAAGCACTGTTATTATAGAAAAACATTGGAAACAACTTCTATGCCCAAAATAGGAAATTAGATAAATTAATCATCATTCATCCATAAAATGAAATACCACGCAACCATTAGAAATGATGCCATTTAAACTATCTCTGGAAGAAGATATCTCTGGAAACTTGTCTCAGCAGTTACTACTATTGTGGGAATGAGATTGGGTGTGGAAAAAAGACAAACTTTTCACTGCTTAACTTATTTGAACATTAGGTTCATTTATTACCTTTTCAAAAAGTAACTCTAAAAGAAACACACTATTTCCAATGTTGCCTAATAGAATGGAAAAATATTTATGACTTTATTGTTAAGAGGGGGAAGCTATAAGCCAAATTAAATGAATGAATGAATTTTTTTAATTTAAAAAATACATATTCCTATAAAGATATTGAAAGGACAGTAATAAAAATACTAAGGAACTTTGCTTTTAGAGACTGATTTTGTCTGCTTCTTTGAAACATCTCTGGACAGTTTCTCCAGAGGTATCCCAGGATAGGAAAGACCCTCTTCCTATTGGAAGCCTGGACAAAAACATCCCAATTAACAGTCAGAACCAAAGAATAGGCAACATAGATGGAAGAGATCTTAACGAGAATGGTGAATAGTCAGTATTCATTCATTCATTCTTCATTCATTCATCATTTGTTGAGAGTGTGCCGGGCCCTGAGCTATTGGTTTCAGGGGAAGTTATTGCCACCTCCTTAACTAATAAGTAGAAAATTCCACATAGACAATTTATAACTCCAGCATCTTCCACAGGCACTAATTTAACTCAGCGATATTTTCTTTGTAGCAGTTTTGCAATTTTGAAGAAGATTGTTCATGACATAACATGGCAAGTGGGAAAATTTGTAGCTTTCCTTTCATCTTAAAAAGCAGGATCTGAATTACATGCACCCCAGGAGAAAATCTCTCTTTCTGGTTGTGTGTGTATGTGTTTTACAAAAGCCCACTGAATTCCTTAGTTCCTCCTGAAGTTAGACTTGGTGAAGTGAAAACTTACGAAAACATCTCAGCAAAAGTACAAGCATCATAATAGAGGCCATGGCCTAGGCCCTGGGATTTTGAATCAAGAATCCTGAGTTATAGCTTAGGGGCCTAAGCTCCTTGGGCCTCAGACCTCTCAGATAGAAAAGTAAGGAGCCAGACCACAGAGAATTATCCTCCGTGACATGACTTAAATTTGGAAATCTGAGCCACCAGGGCATAATTCCCTGTCTCCAATAACCTGAGGATCTGTTAGGCTCTGAGCATCCCTGAAATAGTCCATGCCTCAAGGCATATGAGGGGCAAGGGGATTACAATTCATTTCTTCATTTCTAAGGTGATGTAGATTATTGGTAGACTTTCTGGTGATATGGTTCTTATTGGGAAGGAAAGATTTAATATGGTCAAGCACAGTGGTTCTTAATGCTGACTACACATTAGAACCACCTAAAGAGATTAAAAAAAAAAAATTGATGTCCAGGCCTTGACCTGGGCATTAGTATTTTAAAAGTTGAACAACTGGTATCATGTAAAAAAAAATACTCAGTTGGATTTGAAAAACCTGAACTCTCATTTGGGCTTTGCCTCTAACTGTATAATCGCTTAGTCTCACTATGCCTCTGTTATCTGTTTAGGGTTATTCGGCCTTCCTAAAATGAGATGAAGTAAATAAAAAGTACTTTGCAAAACAAGAGTTGCTATGTAAAAATGAAATGGTTAGGGGAAGAGACACAGAACCAGAAAAGACAGGTCATGTCTTCAGAAGCTATTTCATGGGAGTATCCACTGGAGTACCATGCGCATGGTCAACCCTCATTGAAGAGAAAGACTGTCGAGCTGACAGCTGGGTTACTGTCACCTCCAAATACCCTGAGAACCTTGGTCGGAGGAGTGACGCACCTCCCTTTATGCACAGAGTTGGCAGAGCCCTGTAAATTAATTGCACAACTCTAATCCTATTTAAATGCCCCAGGGGTATAGCTTATAACCTCATATAGGATTTGCCATCTGTAAATCTAGAACACTGAACACTCTGTTTGCTTAAAGGGGATGTTTCATTTGGCAAATGAACCTGAGAACGCCTCATCCACAAAATGGCAATCAGATCAGCAATCACACTGCTCAGAAAGTATCTATGCCTGATGAGGGACCACAGAAGGGTGCCAGGGACTATGGCTCTCCCAGGATATTCTCTCCCTTTCTTCCTAGGACCCCTGTGCATTGCCTGCCCATTCCTCAGGAGCCGAGAACCCATTCTGCCCCACCAAGCTGGGGAATACATGGGCTGCATGCCCCATCCTGCCCTTCCTTGAAGTTGTCCTTCCCTTCCTTCAATCTTGCTAGGAAACTTACCAGAACTGGCACATCTATAGCAGGTGATGAAAACTGAAACATTAAGTTTTAGAGGACAGTGTAGGAGGGGGCATTTGTAGCCAAACTAGCTGCAACTCAGCAAGTTAAATGGAGTAGAAGAAGACATTTTCTTCATCTCTGAAACCTTGGAAGAAGACAAAAGCCTCATTTGTGACTTACAACTGTGCATGAATTAGGGTTACCAGATTTAACAAATAAAAATGCAGCACACTCAGCTAGATTTGAATCTCAGATAAATAACCAATCATTTTTTAACATAAATATGTCAAATATTTCATGGATGTAATAAAGAATTATTGGTTGTTTATCTGAAATTCAAATCTAACTGTGTGTCCGTTTTTTTTTTGGTTTTTTTTTTTTTCCTGGAGACAAAGTCTCACTCTTGTCGCCCAGGCTGGAGTGCAATGGCGCGATCTCGGCTCACTGCAACCTCTGCCTCCCGGGTTCAAGTGATTCTCCTTCCTCAGCCTCCCAAGTAGCTGGGATTACAGGTGCATACCACCATACCCAGCTAATTTTTATATTTTAAGTAGAGACAGGGGTTCACCATTTTGGTCAGGCTGGTCTCGAACTCCTGACCTCAGGCCATCCGCCCGTCTCAGCCTCCCAAAGTGCTGGGATTACAGGCATGAGCCACTGCACCTGGCTGAGCCACTGCACCCGGCCATGTCCTCCATTTTATCTGGCAACTTTAGCTTGAATATACCTGCATGTTCAATAAAGAGAAAAGAAAAATTAAATTTACAAACCAATTGTTTGAAGTTATGTGGCAGATCGACTGAATTCAGCTATTTATCTCTCACCAAGGGCTTGGGCATGTGTGCAGCCCAGTGTGCCAGTTTGGGATTAGGAAGTAAGGAGTATGCATTTGCCAGTGCTCCTGAAATGCTATCCAGATTTCTTCCATTTTCTGACAGATTTAGCTCCAGTTTATTATAAAATTCTATAACAATTCAGAAGAGAAAGATGTGTTAAAGATCTAAAATATGAAATCAGAAGGTGCAGGGCAGGGGGCTGGGGGGATGTGCAAAGATTCTTGAAAAGGAAAGAGACCTATTTTAAATGCAAACTGGTGTTCTTAACATAATATACCTTTAAAAGCACAGTAAGAAGGTAGTCGCCAATGTACCACAAAGTGGAGAGTTTGGTTTGTCTCACAGGCATCTATGCAAGGTAGTAAAAAGCCACTTTCAGAATATGAGCATTATGGTCCTCAAAGTAAAAACTCACATTTAATGTGAATATTCAGGCCGGGCGCAGTGGCTCATGCCTGTAATCCCAGCACTTTAGGAAGCCAAGGCAGGTGGGCTGCTTGAAGTCAGCAGTTCGAGACCAGCCTGGCCAAAATGGTGAAATCCCATCTCTACTCAAAATACAAAAAATTAGCCAGGCACAGTGATGGGTGCCTGCAATCCCAGCTACTCAAGAGACTGAGGGAGGAGAATTGCTTGAACCCTGGTGGTGGAGGTTGCAGTGAGCCAAGATCGTGGCACTGCACTCCAGCTTGGGCAACAGAGCAAGACTCTGTCTCAAAAAAAAAAAAAAAGTGAGTGTTCAAACTTGAGTTGCCCAGTTTCTCTACATAAACTAATCAAATGAACTAGGTAACTATCCAATAACCATATTGTTTTATATCTTAATGCAAACTGGCCCAAAAGTCAAAAGACAGGGTTCAAGTTTTCACTCTGCCACTTACGAATTTAGCCTTTTTTGGTTATACTTTCTTCATATATGCAAAGAACTAACAATTTTGGTACTATGTGCCTTATTGATTTTTTAATATTTAAATTTTCATGGGAAAAATTATGATAAAGTTCTCAATGCATGTACACGCATAGATTTAGTCAATGTGCTGTATGTTATTTTGTATTTTACTTCTTTTTCCAAGTTTTGAATTTTCTTCTGTCAACATCATACACATTTATCACTGCTTTGTCAGTGACTCAACAGTTTTTATATCTGAGTTGTCTTCTCAATTATTAAATATGTATCATGTTTCTAGCTTTTTTCTGCTATAAAAAGTGTTATTATGTCTGTCTTCATACAAATTGTTTCTTTTTCTTTTGGTTTACTTCATTGCAACGTGTTCCTTGGAACAAGTTGCTTAGTTCTGGGGTTTTTTTCTGTTTTGTTTTAGTTTTAGTTTTTGTTTTTTTTTTTTTTGGAGACCAAGTGTCACTCTATTACCCAGGCTGGAGTGCAGAGGCACAGTCTCGGCTCACTGCAACCCCCCCTCTCCTGAACTCAAGGGATCCTCCTTTCTCAGCCTCTGGAGTAGTTGGGACCACAGGTGCATGCCAATATGCCTGGCTAATTTTTTGTATTTTTTGTAGAGATGGGACTTTGCCATGTTGCCTGGGCTGCTCTCGAACTCCTGAGCTCAAGCAATCCGCCCACCTAGGCCTCCCAAAGTGTTGGGATTACAGGTGTGAGCCACCGCGCCCGGCCAGCTCTGTTTATTGCCAAGTTGCACTTCAGGAGACGGGGAACCTATGGATTCTGCTGTTTCTCTGGGGCCCCTCCCACATTGTCTTTCAACCTTTTGGTGTATGAATTAATAGAGAAGCAGCAGTAATTGTTAAAGTGAAGCTGTTTGTCAGGATAGTTCAACATTTTTCAGTATCTCGTTTTCTAACTATATTTCTCTGTCTCTTGCCTCAGCCTTTCCACATTATGGATGTAACTTTTATGGGTATATATCTTTTAATTGTTTTTATCTTTCTGTTGTACTTCCTTTCATCTTAGTTTTGTTACTGTCCATCATATGGAACACTTTAATATAATTAAACCCATGCGTGTCACTAGCATCTTCTTATACAGCTGAGAGAGTCTATTTCATTTCTTTCTAAAGTTTTTTGGAGATGTTTAAAATTCTCAACTATATAACTCATCTAAAATTTATTGTGGCCTGTGAGCATCAAGAAATATATTGAGAAGAGTAAAGGATTTAGAATTTTAAAAACGAAACAATTTGAGTCCAACAGCACTAGCTTAAACAGCTTTAAAGAAATCACTAATCACTTAACATCTTAAGACAGCATCCTCTACTAGATTGAAAACAGGGACTTTGTCTTATTTCTCTTTGAATTTTCTACAAAATCCAGCAAAGTACCCTGTATATAGGATAAATGTTAATATGTCTGTATTTAAGTTATATTTTTGCATATTGCTATTAAATTGTTCCAATAGCATTTATTAAACAACGATCTACTTCCCAATTATTTATTTGGTTGCTTACAATGGATCATTATATCAGTGACACTCAGATTTCTTGTAATGGCAAAGCACCTGGAAGTTACAGCATTCTTTTCTGAACATTGTGAAATACGGAAAAATTAAACTTAAAATAATGAAAATTACAATTTGATGCTAAATCAGATAACTAGCTTATACCAGATTCTAGTATAGTGTAGAAACCGTAAGATTAGACACCAACAGTTGTTTTTAAGTAATGGGAGAAATATTAAAATTAAGAACATTCTATCCAATAACTTAATTCCTTATAAGAATCAGGAAAAAAAAAAAGCCAATGAAACAGCAAGTTCGTCAAGAACAAAAGTTGAAAATCATAATGTATATAAAGCATTACCAGTTGAGACAATATAAATAAAAACCTCTGATAAAATGTAAACACTATATAAACATGAAGTCCAGCTGAACTAGGCTGAACTCTAGCTGAACCCAAAAACTTCTTAAGATCAGTCTTTTGAGTTACCATGGATGGAATTCCTGCCATATTAGAAAGTGTAAGGGAGAGTGGATATCAGACCTCCAGAGCATGCTTCACACCAGCAACCTGACCTAAGGACACTTCTCTTCATTGATCTATAAATCAGAAAGGATATGACACAAAAGGGACTCACAGCTTCACATTCTACCATATTGCAGAGTATGGACTTCACAAAGCAAACAAGGAGGAGGTGTGTTGGAACCATCAGAAAGAACTGCTGTGTTCTTTGTGTTCTGAGAACCTTGCCAGCACGACAGGCTAGATTCCTGTGCTCTGCACAGTAATCATGAAGAGGTGGATGAGAATGTCTGTTAAGGCTGTTGGAACCCTCTGCAAGCAACATTGTTTTGCTATGCTAATTAATATTTTTCATTGAGGCCGGACATGGTGGCTCACACCTGTAATCTCAGTACTTTGGGAGGCCGAGGTGGGCAGATCACTTGAGGTCAGGAGTTCGAGACCAGGTTGGGCAACATGACGAAACCCCATCTCTATTAAAAATACAAAAAATTAGCTGGGCATGGGGGTGTCTGCCTGTAAGCTACTTGGGAGGCTAAGGAAGGAGCATCACTTGAACCTGGGAGGCGGAGGCTACAGTGAGCTGAGATCGTGCCACTGCACTCTAGACTGGGCGACAGAGTGAGACTGTCTCAAAAAATTTATATAATATATAGTACATATAGTATATTTTATGTACTATATAGTATATTATATATATCTTGTATATAATATATAGCATATTATAGATAATATATAGTATATAATATATAGCATTTTATAGGTAAAACAGTATATAATATATAGCATGTTACATATGATATATAGTATATAGTATATTGTATATAATATATTGTATATAACAGCATATTATAGATAATATATGGTATATAATATATAGCATATTATAGATACTATGTAGTATATAATATATAGCATTTTATAGATTATATAGTATATATCACATTTTATAGATATATAGTATATAATATATATCATATATGATAGATAGTATATAAATCATATATGATAGATAGTATATAAATCATATATGATATATAGTATATGATATATAGCATATACTATATATAGTATATCATATAATATATATTTTTTTTTACTGAGCTTACTTTTACTTAGACCTTTGACTTTAAAAAATGTTTCTCCTTAAGAAAGACAATATCCTATAAGCTGGGTGCAATGGCTCACGCCTGTAATCCCACCACTTTAGGAGGCCGAGGACGGCAGATCACTTGAGGCTAGGAGTTCGAGACCAGCCTGGCCAACATGATGAAACCCTATCTCTACAAAAAATACAAAAATTTGCTGGGCATAGTGGTGCACACCTGTACGTGGGAGGCTGAAGCAGGAGAATAGCTTGAACCTGGGAGGCAGAAGTTGCAGTGAGTAGAGATCGCACCACTGCGCTCCAGCCTGGACAACAGCGAGACTATCTCAAAAACAAAAAAGGATCATATGCTATAGTGTAAAAAAAAATTTACAAAAAAAAAAACCTATTGGAACATGAAGTAAGAAATCTAGGGTTGGGTACTACCTGGCCACTTGATCTGAGATGAGCCATTCAATTTTATGGGCCTCAGTTCCTTTTCTGGAAAAAAAAAAAAAAAAAATGGGTATTTAGAATGGATGGATCTGATAGTCTTTTTTTTTTTTTTTCTTTTGAGACAGTCTCTCACTCTGTCACCCAGGCTGGAGTGCAGTGGTGCAATCTCAGCTCACTACAACATCTGCCTCCCGGGTTCAAGCAAGTCTCCTGCCTCAGCCTCTCGAGCAGCTAGGACTACAGGCACCTGCCGCCACGCCCAGCTAATTTTTGTATTTTTAGTAGAGATGGGGTTTCACCATGTTGGCCAGGCTGGGTTCTGATAGTCTTGTCCAAATATAGCTATGTCCCAATTCAAGAAAAATCAAGATACAAAACTTTATACTTAGGGAACAGATATTTTGCTATTAATAATGGACCTTGCTAAGTCACTCTCTACTTTTAAAATTCCCCCAGAATTTTTTTAAATTGTGGAAATCTCTGGTGAAGTTAAAATATGATTCCAAGTAAAATCCCCAACTCTTTTTAATGAAGAGTTTATAATAAACACTCTGTCCTCCAGGATAGTGATGCTTTTGTCTAAACAACAATATTCATGGACAATATTCTACGACAGGGGTGTGTGTGTGTGTGTGTGTGTGTGTGTGTGTGTGTGTGTTGCCAGGAAATCAGAACTGCTGAGTCTTGATTCAGATATAGAGCCGAAAGGACGGTAGATCCGTAAAATCATTTGCTTGGAAGGGAGATGAATTGTGACTTCTTCTGACTCATGGTTTCTTAATCTCCAATGTGCTCTTGGTCCAGGGTTCTGAAATCAGGACAAACAGGGAGAGACTGCTTCATGTAATCATGCAATCATCCTTTCTCCTTCTCTTTTACACTACCTCCAGAAACTGCATGCATCAGTGGTATTGTTCAAAGCCTTTCAGTAAATTTTAGCTCAAGCCATTTTCTCCCCCAAAATGTATCCCACCAAAAGGTTTGCTTCTCATCTCCCCAAGAGTATGTGTGCTCCAGATGTTTTTGAACTCTCACTGCAGGATGTGGTGCAAACCATCCCTGATTGCTTTGGTTGTCCTAACACAGTCATCCCACTAAGGGCACCCTACTCTATAAAGGCTGACCACCAACTTATACTTTACCAATGTGGAAACACCAGCTTGCTTTCTGTCACCCCGGACCGCTGATTCAGATCAGAAAGCTGAATGCGAAGTTATGGACAGTGGCCCTTGTTTACACTTAGCAATCTGTGTGTATTTTTTAGGATGGCATTTCTCCTAACATTAGCAAAGCTTTTAATATGCCCACTAAAATAGGACACAGTTTCTACTAAGTGCGTTTATGTGAAGAGCCATTTTTCACTTAATTTTCCCAACACCTGGGACAGTTTACAGCAAAGTTTTGCTATCTTTTTTCAGGTTCAGAAAATGGTCTCGCACAGAAGCAACGAACACCTCGTCGACGATGTCAGCAGCCCAAAATGCTGAGTAGCCCTGAGGACACTATGTACTATAACCAGTTAAATGTGAGTTCAAAGTGGCCATAAAGCTGTTTCACTGGCTTTGTTTCCAGTTAATAATTCTGTTATTACTACCTGTTCCAGCCCCTGCAGCCCCACCCCCACCCTCATGCTCTCGTCTTGAACATGTGCTTAGGCTCTTTATCTGTTGCTTTCATGTCAGGATGTCTGCCTTCACGGTGAATAATTGATGTGGTTTATCAAAGACGAGCAAGATGCATGCTTCATCAGGCTCACTTGAGCCCTTTGATCAAAAAAATTATGCTGTGACTTCTGATATTATCAGCATCTGCTTGCATTCAACACAAAATCACTTTGAATTAAAAATTAACGACTTGCTGCTTTGCTTTGACTGTGTGTTCTTGGCCCTCTCCACAGGGAACTCTAGAATATCAAGGGAGCAAGAGGAAGCCAAGAAAACTTGGGTAAATATCTGTCTTCTTAGTTCTAAGCAACTGTAAACAGAAGGGGTCCTTTGTGATATTACAGAAAATGCAAAACTTTCCAGAGAGGCTTCTAAAAATATGCAATCCAGATATTGCCACTCTTATTGACATTGGAAATTACTTTTCACAGTAGCAAGTATACAAAACTTGAATCTATTCTGTCCAAAAAGGTTGAAATTGTCACCTAAGGGCAAATGTTATTTCTCATAATTATTCTGGGGAATTGTACTTTCTTCATAATTAGAGACATGTAGTGGGTTATATAAAACTCTCCTTCCACAAATAAGAGCACTCTACGAAATACAAATAGGCCACTTCCTCCACATTATCCTACCCCTGGGCCTTAAAACATGCACAGAGAGAAACATGCCCCACTGGTTAGACAGAGGATAGTAAGGAATTTGTCATTCGTTTGATTGTAAGCCTCTCAACTGAGAATAGCAATGAAGTAGATAACGGTAATAATTAGAGAATTGGAGGAGGTCAGGAGGAAAACTTTCTCATCTAGAGGGAACCAGATGGAGACAGAGAGTTCAATCCCATAAATCAAGTTGCAATATGACCACAACTTCCAGACACCGCAAAACTAGACCCATTATCAGTGCGTGACCCCAAGGTGAAGGGCTTCGTAGATCAGACCCTGGTACCTCTGTACTGGGAGACCCTGAACCACTTAAGCTGTCCGTCCCCTTCAGTGTTGGAACCCAACCCTGTTCCAGCTACTCGCATGACTTTAGCTGCCCCACTGATGATTGTAACATTTGTTTTCTTTTTTTGTTGAAAATCCTGTTGTTTTCTTTGTTGCAGCCAAATCAAAGTACTTGATGGGGAAGATGAATATTACAAATCTCTGTCACCAGTGGACTGCATCCCTGAGGAGAACAACTCAGCCCACCCTTCCTTTTTTTCTTCATCCTCAAAAGGAGACTCTTTTACTCAACATTGAATTGTACTTCCTAACCCCAAATCTGTCCAGAGTAGTAACATTCATGGTAATCGACTGTCTTTGCATTAGTAAGCACTGACATGGGGTCAGCTTCTTTGGCCATATGGTCCATGCCTGAGCCTTACTGAACAACTTGCAGATTCCAAAACATCTTATCCTATCTCTACCACTCTCCCACATCTGTTGTGCAGCCTGAGCTGGGCGCTCCCTTCCTTTCCCATCCCATGAGTCCCTGTGGGTCACTGAGAACACCTTTGCAACAGTATAAACAGCCATTCATGCCCCCAGTGTCTAGGAAGATAACAGACAGTCTCACCACAGTCTAATCATGGACACTGATAATATTTCTTGATTTTTGCTATCAAGTTACTTTTCAATCCATTCAGAATCTGCCCCAGTGGAGACCCAGGAGTCCCTTTCCTGCACTCTTCTCCACCCTCCCACCTTTGCTGGGCTTTTTATCACTCCCACCTCCCCCAGAGTCAGGGCTCCATTGCTGAGTGCCCCATCCTGGAGGAGTGGCCCCAAGATCTCCTAGGACAGGATAATTGCCTGTGTTTAGGCAGAGAGGCCTAAATCTTTCAGCTTTCTTAACCCCTCTCTTGTTAATTATTATGCTGAGAAAGCCTTTGCCTCTTTATTTCACCTTGCCAAGACACCCACACTACTTTGGTAGTGAAAAGAAAGGAGTGAGAGGGAAAGTTTGGACCTGTCACTTCGGTGACACGGAAAGTCCAGGTCACTTTATTCTGTAACTCTCCATTCACTTGTCAAATAACTCCATGAGGCTCTCAGTGGCTACAGTGGAAGGACCTGATATTGTCCATCTTTGTGTGCACAGAGCCTAGCACAGGGCCTCGCAGAGGGGATACCTAGTGAATGTAGACTATGTGGAAAGACTTAACTAAGTTACACAAGCATATCTGACAGGAACATTACTTTCAATTCATACACTATAATCTCTGATTTTTCACTACGTTTTGGATAATTCTATTGTAATGATGTTAGATAATATAATACTCAATATGATTCAATATGACAAACTTTTTTGAGCACTTGGTTTATATAAAACATGACAAAATTGCTGTGTGATGTAATCAAAAACAAAGAGGCCCTATAAGACCCTTTCTCTAGAACAAATGTTCTTAATATTTTTCTTACTCAAAAATATGTGGTAGATAGTATGCAAGAAAAGCTGGGTGCAGTGGCTCAGGCCTGTAATCCCAGCACTTTGGGAGGCCAAGATGGGCAGATCCTGGGGTCAGGAGTTCGAGACCAGCCTGACCAACATGGTGAAACCCCATCTCTACTTAAAAAAAAAACAAAAACAAAAACAAAAATTAGCCCAGCATGGTGGCGTGTGCCTGTAATCCCAGCTACTCAGGAGGCTGAGGCAGGAGAATAGTTTGAACCCAGGAGGCGGAGGTTGTAGTCAGCTGAGAGCATGCCACTGCATTCCAGCCTGGGCAACAGGGCAAGACTCTGTCTCAAAAAAAAAAAAAAAAAAAGATAGTAAGAAAATACCTAAATTTTGAGAGAAATAACCTTGAAGAAAATCTCTTCAGAGTTTTGAAAGGGAACACATTAATAGGCCTTTTATGGAGATAAATAATGAAATGAGGCATTTAAAGATCTCAGAAATTGTAATTTTACAAGAAAATGAAATAAATATAGCCAATTTTTCAATAGCTGAACTTCACCCAAAAGGTAATGTTTATAAGATAATTAAGTAGAGCAGGAAAAATGCGGATACATTTTATTTTATTGTTTAAAACATAATGCATAGAATATATAAATTTTTCATGTTACTATTAATATATGAGTGCTTTTGGAAGTTTCACTTTTATCATTGATTGTCTACTTTTGGTTTGATAATATTACTGCTTTTCAAATTGTTGAATGGAAATGTTCATAACTCCCTGCTTGTCCATGCACAATGTAATTCTAAACCTGGCTTGTTTCTCATTTAAATATATCTATAAATAAATTTAAAAAGAAAACAGAGGTAACTGTGGAATCATAATCCAGAAGCTCTGCATAGTTAAGTCATTAATACAGCTGTACTCCTAAGAGTACTCTAGAAATGATGTTCACTTTTAGTCACAGTATAGAGAAAACAGACTGTAGACATTATTCTTGGGCTAGTCACAGTGCCACAAACTCAAAAGGCTATTTTTTTTTTTTTTTTGGAGACAGATTTTTGCTCTTATTTCCCAGGCTGGGAGTGCAATGGCGCGATCTTGGCTCACTGCAACCTCCACCTCCCGGATTCTCCTGCCTCAGCCTCCCTAATAGCTGGGATTACAGGCATGTGCCACTACACCCAGCTAATTTTGCATTTTTAGTAGAGACAGGGTTTCTCCATGTTGACCAAGCTGGTCTCAAACTCCCGACCTCAGGCGATCCGCCCACCTCAGCCTCCAAAAGTGCTGGGATTACAGGCATGAGCCACCGAACCCTGCCTCAAAAAGCAATTCTTAAACCTAGTAGATGAGAATGATGCAACCTGGAATCTTGTAACTTTCATTAGATTTATCAAAGTAATATGCACATGACAAAAATCAAATAGTCCAGAGGGTTTATAGTGGAGAGCAGTTGTCTTCTCCATGTGCGTCTCTCCAGGAAGCAATCATTGTTTAAAATTATTTCTAATTCCTCTAATGGTTGCTAGCGTGCCTCTGAATAATTTGCTTCTATCTTCTTGATTTGTCATTTTAGACAATATTTAATCTCCCCCTTACGAAAAATGTAGATTTGGCCTGGCACAGTAGCTCAGGCCTGTAATCACAGCACTTTGGGAGGCCAAGGCAGGCAGATCACCCAAGGTCGGGAGTTCGAGACCAGCCTGACCAACATGGAGAAACCCCGTTTCTACTAAAAATACAAAATTAGCCAGG